AATTTTTTATAAGTTAAACTAATAATATTTTATTATAAATTTTTTTAGGTCAAAATTATTAACTTTAAAATAATTTAATAATTTAAAATAGAAAAATGTTCAAAAAAAGATTTGAAATAATTAATTAGTAACAAAACTTCTTAGACAAATTTTAAATATAAACATTTGATGTTAAATTTTAATAATATATAAATTTTAAATTAATTTAGTAAACTCTCGATTTTACTGATTCGATTTTATGATTTTAATTATACCTCATCAAAATGATTTTACTTAAACACTCGATTTTGACAACCTTACTTGGCACAATAGATTGAACTCTTGTGGTTTGCTCACACAATTTGATCTAATTAAAGTTAATGGGTTTACCTACAGCCAGAGATTTCCAAATTGCTGCCACAACCAAAACCAACCATACCATCAGCCATGCCTTCAGCTAAAGGAAAGAAGGAAAAATGCTAATTTGACTAACTGTATCTCCTATTGCCAGCAATTGGAACTTTTGCTCTAATTCTGCCCTTTTTTGGGTACAATTCAGAACAGTGAGCCTCTGGGAAAACAATCAAACATTATTCAACAGTTGACTTTGCATGTTATGGGAATTATGAAAAACGTAAGAGCAATCGTCATTGATTTTGTTTGCGGGAAGGAACTTTGCATCCTTCGCTTCTCTTCTCTATATGTCCCCCATCTCTCACTCCCATTTCGCACAGAATCAAAATGGAAGGCAGAGTTGCACAAGACGAAAATACTGGCACCAATGGAGTTTCCACCATTCCTCTTCTTACTCCCTACAAGATGGCCAACTTCAATCTTTCTCATAGGTACGCTACACAACCTTGTTAAATTTCTTTTCTACCAATAATAATTGTGGTTTCTACTAATCTCTAAATCCACTTCCGTTTTCTTATTCAAAAAGAAAAATATTGGTGCTTGTTTGTAACTAACTTTGCATTATTGGGTTTCAGAATTGTGCTTGCGCCAATGGCCAGAAATAGATCTTACGGCAATGTTCCTCAGCCACATGCAATCTTATACTATTCCCAGAGAAGCTCCACGGGCGGCCTTCTTATAGCTGAATCCACTGGAGTTTCTGACACTGCTCAAGGGTATGGCTAACTTAGGCCCCGTTTGGTATGGTGGTTTTGGGGTAGCGGTTAGCGGTTTTACCTAAACCGTTAAATATAGGTGTTTGGTAAATTTATATATTTCGAAACCACTATAAATAAAGTGTTTGGTAAAATTTTTATTTAGCGGTTTGAGACTAGCGGATAGCGGTTAGAGTCCAAACCGCTAGCGGATTGAAAAAATTAGTTTATGTAGCTTTTTGTACCAAACCGCTAACGGATTAAAATTTTTTAATTTTATTTACAAATTTATCCATTTTAATTTTTTAATTTGTGGT